ACATTGCCTATATGAAAGGTAAGCAAATTAAACAAATTAAACTCATAACTTTTAGTCCTTTATAAAGTAAATCTGAACAATAATCATGATATGCAATTCTGTGTTTCTTATAAACAAGTGCTCCTTCCTACTACACATCCTACCAAATAAACAGAATGACCATCCATAATAGAGCAATTACCCAAATAAATAAATTCAAAATCTAAATAATATATGATAAGACCTCCTAAAACAATCATTGTATTGATTTTTTAAAAATTAGAACCACAATACTAACAAAAAGTTTAAGAATCCCAAATAAATATTGAATAATCAAATCCTACAGTTGACACAGGAAAAGGCTATATGAAATAAGAAGTGAATGTCAAATGACATCCATCCTATCCTAATAACACCTGAAGAAAAACTTCATTGGCAGATCAAAATTTATACAGAAATGTTATAATAATCATGTATAAATCTATTTATCTACCATACAAATCACATTCCTCTAGTTCAACAGTTCTCATTTAAAATACATCAGAAACATTTGGAGGGCTTATTAGAACACAATTACTGGATCTTATCCCCAGAGTTTCTGATTCAGTAGGTCTAGGGTGCGAGCCTGAGAATTTGCATTTTGAACAAGTTCCTAGGTAGGGCTAATGCTGCTGGTCTAGGGCCATACTTTGAGAATCACTACTCTAATTCATTGATACATTCACTCAACAAATTTTGAGTATCCACTATATATCAAGCACTACTCTAGGTGTTAGGCATAGAACAAGTCAGATGTTTCCTCCTTTTACAGTGCTTAATTCTGGTAGGAAAATATCAGATATATAAGTGAATAAAGCAAATTTTGCAAACTGCAAATTCAGTATGATCCAGTAATAATAAGAATGATAGTAATGTTATAACAGACCTCAATGTTAAAAATGTTTATAATAAGCATAGATTACTTTGGTATTTAAGTACAAAGTGACAAAGACTATTAAAAATATATAGGAAAATTACTAGAAGGAAACACAAAAAATGTTAATAGTTATTTCTGAGAGGTAAGCTATGGATATTAATCCATTTGTACTTTTCTATGTTTCCAAATACTGTACAGAAATCAGTTAACCTTTTTCTGGTCATAAAAGCATCTTAAAAATAAAATTATTGAATCATTTTTATACTGTCTCAAAAACATAATTCCCACCGTATTGTTCTAATCACTGAAATTTTCTCTTTCTGAACATTATGAAAGGGGAGAAAATAATTACAGCCTAAGTATGCTACCACAAACAAGAAAGATCTAAATGATAGGAAGTATCAGGATCATGGTATTTTGATAGAAACATTTTAGAATAATTTCTCCTTCTGAGTTCTTTATTTATCAATTCTTAATGTGCTTTTTCTATAAGTTTAGTATATAACAGTGCTTTCACACAGTAATGACTCAATAAATAAAATGCTGATTTGCAGTCTCCCCCTCCCTGGTTCTCTTCAATTCAGAGTTAATAAAACTGTTGCATTAAAAAAAAAAAAGAAAAATTACCTTAACTTTCACCAGCCTTTTCACAGTCTTAATCTTGGCCTCACAGAAGGCACCTCGGTACTTGGCACTGACATCGGTTCCCACTGTCAGGTAGGCAGGCTCATCTGCCGCCTGATGAAAGGAACATAAACTATGAATGTCATCATTATTTCTCCCTACGCCAACCTCAAGTCTCATGATAAGGTTGTGTATTTAAAGTAGTAAGAACATTAAAATTATGTTCTTATTAATGTCATTGATAATTTGAAAAATACTCCTAAAGCAAACACTTTATTAATAATCTTTAATTTTATATACTGATATCTTGATACTATAAAATGTTTTAATGTTGTAATTAGAAATTATCAGTAAGGAAATACAGTAATGGTTTTTCTCTTTATACAAAGTGTTTAAAAATTCTATAATTTAAATAAGAAGTCAAAAATAAGAAAAAAACAGAAAAGGCATCTCATAGTAAATGCTTATAAAACTACATTAGTCATTTATGGCGTCCCCAAAATTGTTTTCAAGTTAAAAGAAATATTGCTTTTAAAATTAACATTAACAATAATTAAATATTTATTGATATAGCTACATAAAAGCAGTATTTTAAATATAATGTAACCATACAGATAAGAAATGAAGCCAACCCTTTTGATTTCTTAAAAAAAGTTAACATTTGGAAAATTCATTGGCTATACGCCGCATTTGAAAAATTTAAGTCTGAATTCAGCCAATGAATGCAGATATGAACTCATGATTCAAAACTTGTAGGCACACATAGAGTTTACCACACTAATCTTCTTAGTATAAAATATAAGCTTTACTAAGAAATATCTACTTTTAGAAAATGGCCATGATCAGAATGATACGTTGAAAGATGCTGAGAAATTTCATTCTACCATTCATTTTAATCTTGACAGTAACAGAATGATTGCTATCTCAATCTGTCATTGTGCCTATTTTTTTTCAAAAGTTAAGTGTAATCATACAAGTTCAATTCAACATTGTTATAGGCAAGGCAACAATGTACACTTTAGAGATACATTTTTAAGTGGAAAACAATTTTTCACTTTCCAATAAGTTTTCCCTAGTAATATCAAAGAAGGTTGATTGAATATGTCACTTCACTTCAAGAAAATAGGAACACAAGAGACAGCTTTGGCAAATGCTATATTTCAGAGCTTAATATACTGAAACAGTAATAAGACAGGAATCAGGTACCTTTTAAAGTCATTGCATTTACAAACAATGCAAATCGAAGAGGAATACATTTGGCAAGTAAGTATCTAACCTGAAACATTCCAATGGCCACAGTACTAAGGAATGCTTCCTTTCTCTTTAAATATCCACATGTATTTGCAGTTGTTTTGAGAAGAATATATGTGTGTATATATGTATACACACATATTTTTAGGATGGGTATATGTTTTAAAATATTTACTATAAGGATTTAACCAGAACTAAGCATTATTAGTTTCAGATCAACTTCAAATATTTTAGCCAGAGAAGTTTACGTTATCCCAGAAGAAATGATACTTTCCTTATTCAATCCATATATTCTCTTAGAAAATCGCACTGGCACTGGAGAAGAAAAAAATTTTCAAAAAAATTCCCCAAAGAACCAAAGCAGGACAAAAGCTTTACTTCTGCAAAGATTGCTGCCAACACAGGAAGTGTTTAAAAATACTATCTGAATGGACAACAATTGAAAGGCTGCACCAGCCTTTCCAAAGTGCTAACTGCTACAGAGAGGGGCTGAACTGACTGCATTTAGACACACAGATCATTTCTCACCCATTCAACACGTCCTGGATTTCTGAAAGTGCTGCTTAGTAGGAAAATCAATTTTGAGTAGCAAAAAAATGACATTTCACAGCACCAGCCTCACGACTGGCAGTGTCCAGGGCACGAGGATCAGGGCAGCGTTGACTCCACTTACCTTCATTTTTACTGGTGATCTCTGGGGTTCCAGCTCAACGAGCTATCTTCGCTGTTGCTAGAACCATTGGAGAAGGGGAAAGACAGGCACAGAATCAGTCAACAGCGGGGAGCGACGAAGAGAAAGAAAGTAAACAAACGCCAACGGGGAGGGGCAGAACCCTCAGCAGGCGAGGGATAAGACCCCCGCAGCGGGCAGCCAGGACGCGGGAGCAGAGGGGGCAGCGCGAAGCCCACGCGCGCGTAAGGGCAGCCCGTTCCGCCCTGGAGCCTGCCAGCGGCCCACGGCGCCCCCGCCTCGCTGGCCACTTTGACCCGGAATGCTCAACTCGGAGACCCAGGACAGATCGCTCTGGACAGGAGCGGGGCGCCGTCTGGGCTTCCCCAGGTCCGCCAGAGAGGCTACCGTCCAGCCTGTGCTCGGCCGCCCCCCGGACACCCCGACTCCGGCCCGCGCCCCGCCTCCGCCGCTCGGCCCCCTCGGCCCGCCCCGGGCCCGCGGTGGCGGCAGCGGAGTGTCACGGCGCCATTGCTCTCCCTCCTTCGCTCTGCACCATGTCAGGAAGGAGAAGCGCTCCTTCACCCGAAGGGGCAGGGGCCGCGGCCTTCAGCAGGGAGCTGCGAGTGCTCGGGGAGACCCGAGCGGTGGAGGCACCGAGCGGGTGGGGGTGCGGGAGGGAGGAGGGGAGGTGGCCGGACAGGGTGTGGGAGGGGAGGGGAGCCGCACAGCGGCAGCCACCGCCTCCTCCCCGCGCCCGCCTCAACTTTTTGTACAGCCCAGAGAGGTATCAGCCCCCAGCCCCTTGGGTCCTGCCACGGACTCCACAGTGGAGGACGCGCCACGGAGTTGGGGGGGCCGGCTAGTCCGAGCAGCCCGCTCCTTACCCCGCGGAAGCAAACTTAGCGGCGCGGCCAGCCCCACAGCCATTTTCCCGGGGAACCCGGGGAAGCGGACGAGGAGGCGGCTGCGGCGGCGGTTCCTGCAGTTGCTGCCGCCGCTCCACGACTTGCCCCTGCCCCTGCGCTCGCTGCAGCACTTGCCCAGCATCCCCCTCCCCACCTCCAAAGCTTCCAACTGCACCGGGACCCCGGGCAGCAGCACCAGCTGCTACTGCCGCTTCGTCCATTCAGTATTCCGCGCTTCCTTTCTCCCCACCTACCAACAGCGGGTGAAGTGCGCGCTGTCAGCTCCTGAGTCCTCCGCCCCACTGACCCCCGGGGGCCCCCGTCCCGGCAGCACCACTCCCGGCCGCGACGGCAGTTCCTGCGCCCGGTTCCCCACTCGCCCCGATTTACTGCCACAATCCACCAAATAACAAGCTGTTGAGCAGACTCGCTTCTACACGAACTCCTATTGGCTGCTCATGACGCCGAAGAGCTTTGGATTGGACCTCGATACCTGTCGTCCTCATTGGATGTAGCTCTGAAACTTCACGGATTGGTGCGAAAAACAGCAGGTAGGACATCCTCCACTTATGATTGGCTTTCTCCGAAGACCAACGTTATTGGAGAATTGGGTATTGAGTAAGCAAGTTCTGAGAAATGATTGGTAGAGACGACTCCGGATGTGCTTGACTGAGCACTGATTGGTGAATTGAGGGGTCAGGAAGAGCAGTTCGGCGCGAGGATTGGCGGCGCAGTGTCCCATGGAAACGGAACCCAGAACTGCAGCCAGGAGCTTGCACGGGGGCGGGGCAGGGTGTTTCCAAGGCGCTTGCGCTAAACCGCTTCTCGGCGCCATTTTGTCTCGGCAGCGGTAGCCGCAGCTCTATCGCATTTTATGTTTTTGACGTGAAAGGAGCGGAGTCCTTATCCGGTAGATTTACTTTAGTGGGGCACCGATCCACCGTTCTCTCCAGGACAGCACCTAGTCGTGGTCGGAGGAGTCGCAGAGCTGTCAAGAAGGTCAGTTGGAGGCTATGGTTGTCCGGTTGACTGGGGGGATGGCGCAGCTCTATCGGCACCGGCACCGGAAGTGAAGGGGCCGCGGGCAGCCATGGTAAAGTGAGTGCACCCTGCGGCGGGGTGGGGGGGAAGGGGGCGGGATGAAAGGGGGCGAGGTTTCCTCTCCCGCCGAGTGAAAGAGAAAGAGGCGGGGGAGACGTGCAAGTCTTTCTTGGAGGTGACCGTTTGGGCCGCTCAGAAATATTCGGGATTCTGCCTCTTTCCGATCTGTTTTTCCTCCTTTTGGAAATGCGTTTCGGGGGACTTGCCATATTCTCCACCCGAGTGGCACCGGCTGTGTGGGTTTCCTTACTTAAGACGTGGAAGACATGGTTCTTAGAAACATTCTGCGTGGGGAGAGGTGTTTCCGCGTGCTTCTCACGCGATAAAGCTGTGGAGGAAACTGGAGAAAGCTCTGGCTTTCGGAATGCTAAGGAATTTGCTTGCCAGCACGGGCGCTGCTACTGTGACCTTAGACAAGCGTCTGTGTCACTTTTTGCACGAGGTTTATGCTACTTTGTGAAAGGAGGTAGCAGTGGTTTTGCAGGGACTGAAAATATCTTAGATAAAAGGACCTCCCAATAGGACAAATGTTGGTCTTATTCTGTTAACATCTTATGTTCTGTAATATGAAACAAAAACTTATGTAGTTTAAGTATTGGAAATTGAATAGTGTTTCAAAGAATGAAATAATTTTTAGAATGTTAAATATCGTTGATAATCCACATAGACTAAATTTACTAAATAAGAGGATACCTAACTAAAGCAGGATCAATTTTTTCATAACAGTAATTTCTCTCAAAATTATTCGTTAAGAAAGTGAAACGTTATGTCGGGTATCTCCAGTGAGTGACCTAGTCACACTGGATACTTACAATTATCCTCAATAACTCTTTTAAACCCGATTGCTGTATTTGGTGGGGCTCAAGACTAGAAAATGGTTGAGTGATTTAACAATTTACTGTGGTCTTTTTGGCAGTTGTGCTGAAGAAAACAGACATCTCAGTAACAAATATTCCAAGATAAATACGGACATGAGTCCTGATGTCTGTAAAAATCCTCAGAATTGGGGGACCACCTGGAAATTTTTCTATGAGCCAATAAATAAATATTAGAATGGTAGTTGAAAGATGTTTTGTTTGGCCAAGGGTTCAGATGAGTCTGTATAACTACCTTACTGATAATGATATTTTAGAATGAAATCTCAAAATTAGAACATCCTTATGGATTTCTTTACCCATTCATGTGGTTCTCGTTTCTGAGTTTTTAGGTACTTAACGATTTTATCATGAAACACTCTGGGTATTTTTATGATTCTGTTTTCTCCTCCTATTTAAAAATTTCTCATACAGCAAAGATCTTGTTATTAACAGTGTTTAGGAGCGTGGCAATTTTTTTAAAGGAAATTGTAAAACAATATAATACTACTGAACTTTGCAGAGGGTAATCATCCATAAGTCTTTTACCCAACCTTAAACACTTATTAGCTGATCTAAAAAACATGTTAGTGGGCATTTGGAAATTACTAAAAAGCCAAAAAAGAACAAAAATCTTTTGCATCCTACCAATAAACGGCAATTAATAGTTTATACTATGCTCATATGTTAATATTATACAGAGGGCTTTGTCTCTTTAGGTTTTCTTTTATAAAATAGTCTTTATTTTGGTGCAAAAGTAATTGTGCTTTTAACATTGAAATTTGCCATTTGATATTGGAATACATCTTAAATGTGGTTATGTTATACATCATTTTAATATACATTTCTCACTTTATTTTTTTGCTAATGACTTATTACTTGCTGTTTATTTTATATTTATTTTAGACTATGGAAATGATGTTAGACAAAAAGCAAATTCGAGCGATTTTCTTATTCGAGTTCAAAATGGGTCGTAAAGCAGCAGAGGCAACTCGCAACATCAACAAGGCATTTGGCCCAGGAACTGTTAACGAACGTACAGTGCAGTGGTGGTTCAAGAAGTTTTGCAAAGGAGACGAGAGCCTTGAAGATGAGGGGCGCAGTGGCCGGCCATCAGAAGTTGACAACGACCAATTGAGAGCAATCATCGAAGCTGATCCTCTTAAAACTACTCGAGAAGTGGCGGAAAAACTCAACGTCAACCATTCTACGGTTGTTCGTCATTTGAAGCAAATTGGAAAAGTGAAAAAGCTCGGTAAGTGGGTGCCTCGTGAGTTGACCGAAAATCAAAAAAATCGTCGTTTTCAAGTGTCATCTGCTCTTATTGTACGCAACAATAAGGAACCATTTCTTGATCGGATTGTGACATGGGAAGAAAAGTGGATTTTATATGACAATGGACAACAACCAGCTCAGTGGTTGGATCAAGAAGCAGCTCCAAAGCACTTCTCAAAGCCAGACTTGCACCAAAAAAAGGTCATGGTCACCGTTTGGTGGTCCGCTGCTGGTCTGATCCACTACAGCTTTCTGAATCCTGATGAAGCCATTACATCTGAGAAGTATGTTCAACAAATTGATGAGATGCACCAAAAACTGCAACGCTTGCAGCCGGTGTTGGTCAACAGAAAGGGACCAATTCTTCTTCACGACAATGCCCGACCGCACGTGGCACAGCCAACTCTTCAAAAGTTGAACGAATTGGGCTACGAAGTTTTGCCTCATCCACCATATTCACCTGACCTCTCGCCAACTGACTACCACTTCTTCAAGCATCTTGATAACTTTTTGCAGGGAAAACACTTCCACAGCCAGCAGGATGCAGAAAATGCTTTCCAAGAGTTTGTCAAATCCCAAAGCACAGATTTTTACGCTATGGGAATAAACAAACTTATTTCTCACTGGCAGAAATGTGTTGATTGTAATGGTTCCTATTTTGATTAATAAAGATGTGTTTGAGCCTAGTTATAATGATTTAAAATTCACACTGCGGTTTCGGACCACACTCATTTTGTTACCCATGGTTTTTTTCCTTCATGAAAAACACTGGGAATGTCAGAAATATCTTGTACATAAGCATCTTTCTTATCTTCATAGTGTTTTATAAGATAAATGTACCATAATTTATAACCTGTTTACTTTTCCATTATAGCAGTATTACATCAGTGAATATCCTTGTACATGCTTTGCAAAATATTATAAGAACTTACATCAATGGCTAAAATTTCTGGGCATCTAAATCTAAATCTTCGTTCACATCCCTGGTTATTTCTTTGGAATAAATTACCAGAAGTGGAAATAAAAGGCTGAAGGGATTGTATTGTATATTTAAGGCTCTGGATACTTGTACGCTGACCCATCAGAAAGCTTTTCTTCTGCACTTATATTGGTTGTGCTTTTTATTTTTATTTTTTCCCCCAATTTCCCAGTTTTTCTTTTCTTTAAATTTTGAGTTTTCTCTCCTGAATCTTTGTTTATTCAAGTATCATAATAATGTTTAAATTACATATATAGTGAAATAAATATGAAAATTTTTCTTGGACCTCAGGAGTGATTTTTTAAAACTAATTTTTTTCACTTTAGAATAGTTGAGCATTTGTATATTTAAATGTTTTGCTACACGGAAGTGATGTGTAGGGATACAAAGAATAAATTGTTTTTATGGTATAGTTAGTTGAGTTTACTTTATGTTTCCCTGTGGCCTTCTCTAAAATTTTCCATCTTCATGTGCATTCCTTCCCTCAGTGCCTTTTTGTAGTCTCATCAGAACCTTTACATGTATCTCACCACCCTTTCTTTGCAGTTGTTTGGCTCTTCTCCAGTTTGAGATTTTTGATTTTGAATTTTTTTTTTTCCTGACAGGGTCCTGCTCTGTTGCCCAGGCTAGAGTGCAGTGGCACCATCATAGCTCACTGCAGCTTCAAACTCCTGGGCCCACACAATCCTCATGTCTCAGCCTCCCAAGTAGCTGAGACCATAGGTGCACACCACCATACCTTGCTAATCCAGTATGAGATTTTTGTTCCCAGAAGGCAGCAACTGTTTTAATCATAGCTATGTTCCCCTACCTGATGCATAATAGGTGCTCTGTAAATATTTATAAATATGTATGCACATTTGTATACAAAATATGTGCAATAAGCCAACTTATGTTTAATAGTAATTCTTGACCAAAAATTGGTGATGTTCCCCAAAGCTGTCTTAACCTTCCAATTTAATATTCCTAAGTACTTAATACTGAATTGATTTGTAATTGCTAATAAAATATTGATTTAGAGAACCACTAAGAATGTGTCAATACTAGTTTTTCAAGCCTCTTTTTTTATTCCTCAATCCTTTTTAAGGATTTTATATCTTAGTGGAGGTGACTGTAAGTGAATATTAACAGTTGCTCAACCATCTGTTAGGTATAAATGAATGAAATTATGATAGAATTGTAGTTTTGCAGCCTATTTCAATGAGCACAAACTAATCAAAGTTTTAATGTTTTTATGACATAAAGGTATATTGAAAGAAAAATGTTTGATCAAGGGTTCAAATGAGGGTGTATAATTAACTTTCCAATTTTTGTCACAGGACAATGTGAAACATGTTTGTGATTTTTTTTTTACCTTCTTAAATCTTGACATAGAGGGAGAGCTGATCGGTGAGCGTGTTTAGTAGGAGTGAAATAACTTTTTTTATTTTAATTTTTTTTATTTAGGTCAGTCTGTGTTCTGAATGTCTGAGCTATAACATACTCAAAAGAAGTATTTGTCTTTTAGAATGAGACGGATTTGTGGGAAAATGAGGCAAGGTGTCCCTGTTTTTAAAGACCTGGATCTGCAGTCTGTTTTGAAAACTCTGTTTCTGGTATGTAATTTTACTTAAACCACCCTTAAGTAATCGATTGGTTTTGGGGGGTGGTGTGTATCCTTGAAAAAATAGAATTTGTCCAACTGTGCAGTTATTTCTGTAAACGTCAGTGTATGTTGAAAGGAACTGATTGCTATGGTGAATGTAGCTGCTTTCCTAAAGATTCAGTTATTTTTTGAAAGTTACATAATTTACTTGTAACCAAAGCACACTTTACAGTCTCTGTGTGGTCTTTTGCCCTATTAGATTTTGGTTCTGATTTTATGACCACATGGAGTCATAGATAATGGTTTTCTTTCACATATAATTCAAACTAGAATGACAGCACATTTTAGGAATTGGATTCAAGTGGATATGGATTACCTAATAGCTTTCCTTTACAAGGATCTGTGCTCAAGGCGCTTGCTGTCAGTAAAAGGGAGAATGTAATTAAACATGTAGAATGTTAATCTAGTAGTTATTTCAAAAGATATAAGCAATTTAGATAACCTGATTTAAAGATTTAAATAGTGGCTCACTATCCTAATAGATTTGTCAAAGTTCTGTATATAATCAGATCTAGTGATTTTTTTGAAAAGACATAAATTGCATTAGAAAGCAGAGCAGAAAGAAATTTATATAATGGTTATTGAAGGCTTTTCAAGGATACTGAAATATAATCTATAAAATTAGAAGAAAGAAGGCACCCTAATTGGAGGGAAGGCTATGAGCAAGAATATAAGGAAATCTGTGTCTGGGAAAGGGTAAACTAGTTCAGAAAGGATGACTGGCTAATGATATTGTTGGGAAAACCGTATGGGACCAACCTGTCAGTGTTGGTAGAGTTAGCTGCACATCAGAGTCTCATGTGGTATTTGCTCTCTATATAGGTTTCTGGGGGGTCTTGAAAGCTGGGATTTGAACAGAAATTGAAGATTATTTTTGTTTTGTCTTATTTTCAAACTTATGAATCATAATGGTACAAAAAAAGATAAAATTAATTTTAATCCCACCCTAACAGATTTTTAAAATTTCCTTCTTCCTTGTCTGTAAGCATATTCTTTACAGAGTCTCGCTTTGTTGTCCAGGCTAGAGTGAGTACCGTGGCGTCAGCCTAGCTCACAGCAACCTCAAACTCCTGGGCTTGAGTGATCCTTCTGCCTCAGCCTCCCGAGTAGCTGGGACTACAGGCATGCGCCACCATGCCCGGCTAATTTTTTATATATATATATATATCAGTTGGCCAATTAATTTCTTTCTATTTATAGTAGAGACGGGGTCTCGCTCTTGCTCAGGCTGGTTTTGAACTCCTGACCTTGAGCAATCTGCCCGCCTCGGCCTCCCAAGAGCTAGGATTACAGGCGTGAGCCACAGCGCCCAGCCCAGCATATTCTTTCTTTTAGAGTAATTTTTGGTTTTCCTTTGTTCCTTTCACATTGTAACAAGCATTCATCGTGACTACACAGTCTCCATAGTAATTTTAATGTCTGAAAATATTCCAGCAAGCTGTTTTATCTTTAACATTTTTCTATTGCTTGACCATGTAGATTTCTAGTTCTTTAGTATTGTGCTCCAATTTTCATCTTATGTGTATATAGTATTTTCCGTCTTTTGATTGTTCTTTTAGGATTACTTAAAGGGCCATTGTAGGAACATTTTTATGACTGTTGAAACATTTGTGTTGTTTTTCAAAAGAGTTGAAAACACTATTGCCCTCCTTGTGAATTGAGATACTGGCATGGAGTAGTCTATAATTATCATTTTTGCAAACTTATTAATAGGTGCAAAATATGTTGAGCTCTTTTTTTCTTTGTAAGATTTTTGTTGAGTAGTAAGGTGGGACCTTTTTCTATAATTTCACTTACTGATTCTTGTACAAGTTGTATATTCAGACTTCCTAATTATATTGTTAGTCTTAATATATTTTATTTCTTAATTGTTTGTTATATAATTCTTAGTAGTAACTTACTGCATATATTTTTCCATATGGATTTCCCTTTTAATTTTAGTTTTGCAGAGGGTTTTTGAACAGACAGAAGGGTATGATGTACACAAAATAATATTGTTGGAAAATTATTTAGAAACAGTGTCCAAAGTGACTAAAGAAATGACACAGAATTGGAAATAGAGAAACAAGATACTGTTGAAATGATGTCAGCATGAGGTGAAACTAGAGTAAGATCTAGAGGAAAAAAAGGAATAAGTGAGCAAGAAATCAAGTTGGGAGGAAAAGTTGACAGCATTTGATCTCCAATTATCAGGGTAAAGAAGAAAACCAAAACATACTCTCAAGTTTTAAGAACGGTTGGGAACAAACAATAACGTTAACTAATTTGGAAAGTCTGGGAGGCTACTGGGTTGGTAAAGAAGATGAAATCTGTTTTAAACATTGGAGTTAGAGCTTGAGCTGTCTAGTAAGCATCTATTCTTCCTTTTGTCAAATTATTTATGGGGCCACTTACTAGGATAAGGCATTATGCTGGACCTTACATTGTTTCTATATTTCGATTTGACTTTTAATTCCATTCTGTTAGACTTAGGTGCTTTTATCAGGGCTTTCATATTTCTGGTTTTTAAAGCCTAACTTGAATTTAAAATTTAGGAATACCAGATGATTCTCACAGTAAGTTAAGGAGAGGTTAGTTTTTCATTATTGAAAAAAATATAGTTTTATGAGAACATGTTATAATTTTTTTTTGTATCAAAATAAACTCATACTAACTTGTTATAACATGTCTAAACAGGATCTAGTTTGAGGCACTAAGAAGGATAAGACAGCAGTTTGAAAAAAGCCTCTGTCAGAGCAACATGAATTCTGCTAAAATTTGAGCAAGAACAAACATCAAATTTATGGTGAAGCTTGGGTGGAAAAATGGTGAAATCATTGATGCTTTACAAGATGTTTATGGGGACAGTGCTCCAAAGGAATAAGTGGCAATTTACAAATGGATAACTTGTTTTAAAAAAGGGATGAGACTATGTTGAAAATGAAGCTTGCAGCAGCAGACCCTCCACATCAATTTGCAAGGAAAAAATTAATCTTGTTGGTGACCTAATTAAAGAGGATTGACAGTTGCCAGCAAAAACAATAACCAATACCATTGACATCTCAACTGGTTCAACTTACATA